ACAGGAGAGTACCAGATCAACAGGAGTGCCTGCGTTGCCGCGCAATGTGGTCAAGAAGGCGTCGAAGTTGTCCACTAGGGTGATATCGTAGTTGTGTGACTCCAAACTGACGTCAGGATTTATCAGCTGCAATGTTGCCTCTGCAGCCTGAACTTTGCTTAAGCCGACCTGATGAGGCTGAAATGTGGGAGAAGAACAGACTTAGTAGTCGCTGGTTAATCGAGGGAGATCTTCGATTCTGATACACAAACTTTGTGGTCATCAAGTGATAGAATGTATAAGCACACTCAAACCCATTCAGGTAGAATAATGGATTTAAATGCATAAAAGAAAATAATGTAAGCAATTATGAAAAATGCCTTTGCCAGAACGAATCGAAGCCGTTTAGATTAGTTTTCGTTGCATGAGAATGAACCCAAATATCCAAGTGCTCAAATGTTTGTGAAATTTACTGATAAGCAGAGACAATTTGCACCTGAAAAAAGAGGCGATTCATATTCGCTAGTTCTACTTTATCATAGTCGAAGAGGATGAGACGACCGATACCGCAACGGACAAGCATTTCCGCAGCTACTGAGCCAACGCCACCAAGACCAACAATCGCAACGGCCTTTTCACGGATTCTAAAAGCCAAATTGCTCATAAACATAATCTCATTTGGTAAAACCTAGAAGTATGCCTATGCAGAACGCAGCATATCGGTTCTAACGAAGACACTTAAGGAACAAGAGTGCTTTGTACAAAAAAATTCGTAAGTTCCAAAGAGGCTGAGACAAAAATGACCAAGTACTGAATCTAAAACCTACTGTGCGTAATTCTCGACAACACCCATTTTCTGAAGTGCCATGAGACGACTATAGGGGTTTGTGCTAGTGACTTCGCCTGAAATTTGAGCAATCTTCTGTCTAACTGGACGTGCCTTTCCAAGCTCCGTCTCCAACTGCGCAATCTTGGACTTAAGAGCCATCACATTATTCTTCCGAGGCATGTTCCCATCAAATAAGACTAAAAGAGTTAAGTTAAAAGACCACAGTGTGGTTCTGCAAAACAAGAAGGAATTAAATCAAGTCAGATCCTCAAAGCGCAGAAATTTAGGCCAAGAATACAAATCGGATACAACAAGGGAATACAAGCCCTTAACAAACGACAAAATCACGGGTGGCAAACTTTTGAGTATTCTGCGGCGATCCAAGGTCAAATGTGGATTTTGAGCGAACTCCACAACACCAACACAAGTATTTGACTTATTGCAAAACAGGCTTCTAACCTATTTTTTAAAAGTCTTTTGTAATGCTTTGTATATGTGGCTAACTGACATTCATCAGCCACCTTAAGATTCGTCTGGTCCTTGCACATGGGGACTGCTTTTCGGGAAAGGCTTGGATAAATGTGCTAGGTTTAATTGGGAATACATGAATCGAGCCTCACTTCCTGCCTTCTACCACCCAAAAAGGCGCCTAAAAATGCCACATTAGTGAGAACGGAAAGCAAACCGGATATATTTCCAATGAGATTAATAGCAGGTACCGTTTGTTGCAAGTACATACAGTGGGGAGGAGGTGCATTTACCTTTGTGACGGACAATCTCCGAATCCTTCACAACGAAAGGGTTGAGACTGACGTCTGCATTTGGTTTCATCTTATTACCCTGTTCCACAGACAAGCTATTAACAACTGAAGCGACACTGCCTTGAACCAGTTGGACAAGTTTCGTGTCGGAAGTTCTCCTACAAAATCCGTGTATAGGTGTCGGAAATGAAACTACGGTTTTCTTTGTATACGGGCCAGTGAATCATTCCGTTTTCCCTGTAACATGTATGCTTTAGGCCAGAGTTCCACCGTCTATTCCTGGAAGCAAT